TCCGAACTTTGCCTGAAAGACAAAAACTTTGAAGAAAACGAATAAGAAGGAAAAAAATCGCTCTTTTAAGCTTTTCCAAAACAGAAATTTGATAGTTTTACCAAATATAGAGCAAACATGGCTCTATTAAACAGGTAAAGTTTTAAGGTCCTGGGACGATTGCGTGATTTTGGGCATTTTTTAAAAATGTGTATATTGAAACCGCAATAGAAACAGTGTAGGCTCTATTTAAAAAAATCGCTCTTTTAAGATCTACCGAAATAGCAGTTTGTTAGTTTTACCATATATAGAGCAAATACGGCTCTACTGAAGGGGTTTTAAGGTCGTGCAGACTGAAGTGTGATTTTGGGATTTTTTTGAAAATGTGTATGTATAAGGTAAATTAGCCAGTAGTCGGACAGTTATCATAAGTCCGAACTTTATTTTTTGATTGCATTTCTGGCATTGAAGTAACAAATCTAAAACCTTTTTTATGATTTGGCTTTAATTTCAATGAGGTCCATGAGGTCGATTTTCGCCAAAAAATTAGTCTCTTAAAATGCCTCGAATTTCGCATCATTTTGATCAGAAGAATGCGAGGAATGGAAGGAACACTTTAAAAACCACGCTGGAACCCTCGGTTTAGAAATAATCGATATTTTTTGCCCATTTTGGGTCTTTAAGCGACAAAATCTTCCGTATCATTGACCCAAACACTTCAAATGTGTATATTGAAAAAGTTCTGAGGTCGCAATCAATCAAATGAGTGCAAAAAACAAGCTTGTTAAATTTTGATTGTTGATGGGAATGAAATATAGAGCAAACACGGCTCTACTGAGGGGGTTTTAACTTTTTTTATGATTTTTTTTATGATTTGGCTTCAATTTCAATGAGGTCGATCAGGTCGATTTTCGCTAAAAAATTAGTCTCTCAAAATGCCTCGAATTTCGCATCATTTTGATCAGAAGAATGCGAGGAATGGAAGGAACACTTTAAAAACCACGCTGGAATCCTCGGTTTAGAAATAATCGATATTTTTTGCCCATTTTGGGTGGTTTTTGACGATTTTTGAACGGTTACGGTCTTTAAGCGACAGAATCTTCTGTATTATTAACCCAAACACTTCAAATGTGTATATTCGAAAGTTCTGAGGTCGCAATCAATGAAATGAGTGCAAAAAACAAGCTTGTTAAATTTTGATTGTTGATGGGAATTTTCATAAGTCCTGCAAGCCGCCAGAATTATAGAACCGGGCTAGGAACTGCAGCTCTGGTTTTCCGAGGCTATTTTGGCCATGCTTCAGGTGGTTTTCCTCAATTCTTCCAATATACGAGGTACGCTTAAAATCCTCCTTTTTACTGCTTGCTGTTGACTAGTGGTGGTTAAAAAGTAACTCGAGTACTGGTTACTCATCCGGATCCGAAGGAACGAATATTGAAAAAAAACTGCGTCATAACGGTCAATAATAAAACTGCCGGTTTGCTCAACTTTGCAATCTGCATATCGATATCGATACGCTAAAAATTATATTTTTGTCTGAAAGTCAAAGAATTTGTCAAATAAAATCTTTGTTGTTCAAAGAAAATCTTTGAAGAAAACAAATAAGAAATAAAAAATCGTTCTTTTAAACTTTTCCAAAATATAGAGCAAACACGGCTCTACTGAATGGGTTTTAAGGTCGTGCAGACTGAAGTGTGATTTTGGGATTTGTTTGAAAATGTGTATGTATAAGGTAAATTAGCCAGTAGTCGGACAGTTATCATAAGTCCGAACTTTGCCTGAAAGACAAAAACTTTGAAGAAAACGAATAAGAAGGAAAAAAATTGCTCTTTTAAGCTTTTCCAAAACAGAAATTTGATAGTTTTACCAAATATAGAGCAAACATGGCTCTATTAAACGCGTAAAGTTTTAAGGACCTGGACAGGTTGCGTGATTTTGGGCATTTTTTGAAAATGTGTATATTGAAACCGCGATTGAAACAGTGCAGGCTCCATTTTAAAAAATCGCTCATTTAAGATCTACCGAAATAGCAGTTTGTTAGTTTTACCAAATATAGAGCAAACAGGGCTCTACTGAGGGGGTTTTAAGGTCGTGCAGACTGAAATGTGATTTTGGGATTTTTTTGAAAATGTGTATGTATAAGGTAAATTAGCCAGTAGTCGGACAGTTATCATAAGTCCGAACTTTATTATTTGATCGCATTTCTGGCATTGAAGTAACAAATCTAAAACTTTTTTTATGATTTGGCTTCAATTTCAATGAGGTCGATGAGGTCGATTTTCGCCAAAAAATTAGTCTCTCAAAATGCCTCGAATTTCGCATCATTTTGATCAGAAGAATGCGAGGAATGGAAGGAACTCTTTAAAAACCACGCTGGAATCCTCGGTTTAGAAATAATCGATATTTTTTGGACATTTTGGGTCGTTTTTGAACGGTCACGATCCTTAAGCGACGAAATCTTATGTATTATTGACCTAAACACTTCAAATGTGTAATTGGGAAGCTTCTGAGGTCGCAATCAATCGAATGAGTGCAAAGAATACGCTCGTGAAATATTGATTGTTGTGAGAATTTTCATAAGGGTTGGGGTCGATTTTCGCAAAAAAATGAAAGTCTCTCAAAATGCCTCGAATTTCACATTATTTTGATCAGAAGAGTGCGAGGAAGGGAAGGAACTCTTTAAAAACCACGCTGGAATCCTCGGTTTAGAAATAATCGATATTTTTTGGCCATTTTGGGTCGTTTTTGACGATTTTTGAACGGTTACATTCTTTAAGCGATGAAACCTTCCGTATTATTGACCCAAACACTTCAAAGGTATATATTGGGAAGCTTCTACGGTCGCAATCAATCAAAAGAGAGCAAAAACCACGCTTGTAAAATTTTGATTTTTGATCGGAGTTTTCATAAGGGTTGCGGTCGATTTTTACAACAAAATTAAAGTCTCTCAAAATGCCTCGAATTTCACATCATTTCGATCAGAAGAATGCGAGGAATGGAAAGAACTCTTTAAAAACCACGCTGGAATCCTCGGTTAAGAAATAATCGATATTTTTGCCCATTTTGGATCGTTTTGACGATTTTTGAACGGTTACGATCTTTAAGCGACGAAATATTCCGTATTATTGACCCAAACACCGCAAATGTGTATATTGGGAGGCTTCTGAGGTCGTAATCAATCAAAAGAGCGAAAAAAAACAAGCTTGTAAAATTTTGATGATTGATCGAAATTTTCATAAGGGTTGGGGTCGATTTTGGCAAAAAAATTAAAGTATCTAAAAATTTCTTTGGATAACATTAGTTATAGTTGGACACACTAAAATAAACACTGACAAACATTAAACATATTTAGAAACTATCTACATTCCCTGGTAACAGTTTCGTTTTACGTACCAGAAAGTGAACACTTTTTTCGGACAGTCCCCACAAGAAATCCCCACTCATTTTTCGCCACAACCCATTTCGCTATTCGACGGGTTCAGGTCTCGTGTTTTTGCACATTTTACTTATTTTCCCTTTATTTATTCATTTTTGAAACACGGCAACAGACGCACGAATAACAAAAGTGTCAGCATCAATGTAAAATGTCGGCCAAACCTTTGAAAATTGAATAAAAAAATAGGAATGGTTCAGGAGGTATACGGCCTCTCCATCCCAGCTTTGTTGCAGTAAATATGCTATGACATATAAGCTATGACAGAAAAGCTATGACAGATAAGTTTTGACAAATGGACGTTTTAAACTCAAAATTTAATGCTGAATACAAATATGAAATCAAAATAGGGACTTTTCATTTAAAAAAGCCAAGATATCGTCGATTTTCGATGTTTCCGGAAGCGTCGCCATTTTCAAAGAAACTATATTTAGACTTGCAGCAGCCGATTATGGCTCTCTCCAATATTCATTTCAGAGTCAAAAAAACATTTTTTTACTTTTAGTTTAGTTAAGGTTTAGGGCTCCGTTAAAAATATATAAGGAATATACAGTTGAGTCCGGATATAACGAACTTGAAAAATGAACCAAAACTGGTTCGTTACATCCAGAGTTCGCTATAAGCGAATAATAATACAAAAACACGTGGTGTATTTTATTTCGTTATTTTTACATAGAGTAGTAGAAGTTAGTAGGTATAACTAAAAAGAACACAAAAAAATAGACAGAACACAATTTGAAATCTACTTCATAAAGTCTGTAATTTTTGTTTGGACTTTTCTGCTGCAAAAATAGACGTTATTTATGTAGTTTTCAAGATCACAAAATGACTCCCAAATATGTTTTGGAACTTGGCGTGATTGTAGAAAATTCCAAGTTTCTGACACTTTTTTGTCATTTCAGAAATGGTTGGAACATCATTATTGTCTACAGTAGAATCAGTTTCACCTAAATCGTCATCTTCCTCATTATCGCTTAAAGCTGTAGATGAGGTTACGGAGTATAATTTGCTCATCGGTCAACATTTCTCTTGTAAGAATGCCATTATCACTGCTCACAGATTCGAAGAAATTGAAATCATTCAATTTGGTTTTAACTTGTTCTTCGACAAAATTGTGCACATCTTCATCTGAGTCATACTCGTAGTCAGAGTCTTTATGCTTTTCTAACCATTCGTTAAGTGGAATTTTATCGTCGGGKTCATAATCATTTTCTTTTCTTACAAATCCACCGTGCTTAAAGCAATTTGCAATGGTTTTTCGGCTAACTTTTTGCCAAGCTCTATGAATGAAATTGATTGCATCTAAGAGATTGATAGAAAATGTTTCATTTTTATCTATCGCCTCTAACATTTTTGGACGGACTTTACTGTACAGGGTTATTCACGCTATACGGCACGGAAGTTTGCGGCTAAACCGTTTGATTTTTAAAAAGTATTATTTTATGAATTGTCCGACGCCTACCGA